TGAGTTAGCCATGCCTTGACTTAGATCAGCCCAGAGGCTGTTTCAGCATTCCATCTGTGAGTTAGCCGTGCCCTGACTTAGATCAGTCCAGAGGTTGTTTCAGGGTTCAATCTGTGAGTTAGCCATGCCTTGACTTAGATCAGCCCAGAGGCTGTTTCAGCATTCCATCTGTGAGTTAGCCATGCCCTGACTTAGATCAGCCCAGAGGTTGTTTCAGGGTTCAATCTGTGAGTTAGCCATGCCTTGACTTAGATCAGCCCAGAGGCTGTTTCAGCATTCCATCTGTGAGTTAGCCGTGCCCTGACTTAGATCAGTCCAGAGCTGTCTCAGAGTTAAATGGATAAATGGAATGTTTTTTTTTATTATTTCTATTACAGTTCAGCTGGTTCAGAAGGGCTAATGACATCCCCAAAGAGTTCATTACTAAAGGGATTACTCTCAGAGGTCAAGTCAAAGGCATATCAAGCAACAACACCCTGCAAGTGCTTCATATACCATTAATCACAACATCAACATTTAGAAAGTATAAAGAAAGCAATCATGGTAATTGCAGTGTTTTGGTTTTAAATAATGCACACATCATGTGTCTGTATTGTAACATAACGATGCCCAGAGAATGCTTTCAGTATAGTTTTCATGAGAGGGTATGTTGTGTAGTACCAAAAAATATCCATACCTCCCATATGGAAGGGAATTGGAATTCCCAAGGGTCAGTGAGGTTCTGAGAGGAAACATTGGCTTAGTACCAGAAAATATCCATACCTCCCCCATGGAGGGGTAGTGGAATTTCCAAGGGGTGGGGAGGGTCGGAGGAGGGTATATTGTGTAGTATCAGAAAATATCCATACCTCCCCCATGAAGGGGTATTGGAATTTAAAAGGGGTGGGGAGGGTGTAAGGAGGGTATATTGTGTAGTACCAAAAGAAAATCTCCATACCTCCCTCACAAAGAGGGATCGAAATTTTGAAGGAAGAGAGTCTGAGGAAGGCATATCCTTGTACAATGTTTCTAGACTTTTTATGAAATGAAAGATCTAACCACTATCAGAGAAGTGTGTATCCATTATCATTGGTCCTTTCTTGTCCAGAGTCACCAAGTAATCTTCTTTCCTTGGCTCTTGCTGGAGTGGAATTCAGAGATGGCAGTAAGCAGTGGCTAACAGATAACCTTGTTGACTCCCACATAAAATTTCTTCCTCTTCAAGTTGACCTCAACTCTCAGATATCAAGCATTGTGCATAAAAAGAGAGTAAGTTGAGTTTAACTTTCCTATAAATGTAAAGTCTTTGAAAATTCACTTATCATTTATTATTCTGATGAAATAATCACGCATTTTAGGGTTATTTTCGACGAAATATTTGTGTTAATGAAGAACTTGTAAAGCAAGGACTTGCAGTCACTGGAAATTATGATAAACATTTGGAACAAAATGAGAAGTTCAAGAACCTATTTTCAAGACTTTTCAAAGCTGAGGCATATGCTCTTAAAAAGCATAAAGGAATATGGTATCAACCAGCGACCTTGGAAAGGATAAAAAACATCAAGTTACCTTTACTTTCGAGTTTTATAATGCAGAGAAAGAAACAATCAAATGGTGGCAACACGCCGGAAAGGAGAAGAGAAGTAGGGGTAATAAATAATAATGTAAAGTCTAAAGTGTTGTATTAAAAACGTCTTTTTATCTGAAGTATTGGCTGTAATTTAAGAGAAAAAATGACATTGCACAAGGCTAGGGCACAAGAATCTAGACTGAATGAGCCTTTGGTAAACCTCTTTATAGCTGTACATCATTTTGAGGGCCACGTGTTAGATAACTCTCTGGGTTAATTGTGTCACCCTCCTCAAATAACGTTTATTGTATTGTATTGTATTGTACATCAAAATATGTATAATAGAGAAGTTGTCCCATACTAATAAAGTTATATTTGTCAACCTTGGACTTTCGTGTTTTTAAATCTTTAAATTGTAATCTTGTTGACGTAATAGGCAGTGCGTTTGTGCTTTTTCATTGTTGCACTTTCTTGTAAACCAATGAAATATCTGTACGTACGCATTAAAGCTATTAAAGAGAGGCTCGCCTTTGTTAAACATCTTAGCTCTAATCCTTTTTAAGCGAACAATGATTGACTAAATAAATACAATAGTCGTATCACTTATTCTATATTAAATGGAAGGTTAATCCTGTTATGGCACATGAATAATGGCATAAGAAACGGCTTTATTCAGGAGACAGGATCACGTGTACAAGAACAGTTTAAGTGCGCAAATAAATTTGCGCGTTTAAACCTGCAATTTTAATTTCAAAAAAAACGTCAACTACCTGATGCTATGCCTTCTGCATTTTTGAAAACACTTTTGAGAGGTGCGGAAAGAAAAATAGTCCAAAAACTCACAAAATCTTCTCTCTGTTTCGGACTACAGTAAATTTGGTTGGGAATGCGATGCCATCTCATTTCCTGAAGTGTGCAATCACCGTGAAGTTTGCATTCTCCATGAGTTGTACCATCCTCCTGGTGTGTCATCTCCCTGAGGTGTGTCATCCTTATCCCTGATGTGTTAATCCTTGTTCATGAGTTGTGTCATCCTTCTCCATAAGATGTGTCATCCTCCATGAGTTCCATGTGTCATCCTCATTGAGTTGTTTCTTCCTTCTTCCTGAGGTGTGTCACCCTTCTACATGAGGTGTGTCACCCTTCTCCCTGAGGTGTGTCATCCTTCGTGAGGTGTGTCATCCTTCTTCCTGAGGTGTGTCATCCTTCTCCCTGAGGTGTGTCATCCTTCTTCCTGAGGTGTGTAATCCTTCTTCCTGAGGCATGTCATCCTTCTCCCTGAGATGTGTCATCCTTCTCCCTGAGGTGTGTCATCCTTCTCCCTGAGATGTGTCATCCTTCTCCCTGAGGTGTGTGATCCTTCTTCCTGAGGCATGTCATCCTTCTCCCTGAGATGTGTCATCCTTCTCCCTGAGGTGTGTCATCCTTCTCCCTGAGGTGTGTCATCCTTCTCCCTGAGGTGTGTCATCCTCCCTGAGGTGTGTCACCCTTCTCCCTGAGGTGTGTCATCCTTCTCCCT